ATTTTCCTCGTCGTGCGTGCAGTACAGGCGCAGGAGGGCCTTGAGAGGGTCCTTCAAAATGACGTACTTTCCATCAGGCTTGTCCGAAATGATGTCAACAATGTATCTTAGGATACCCCATATATTTTCATACTTCAGGCCAATTTGAGTTGAAAGATCTTTCGTCTTGTGGGATTGAATAGAAAGAATGTGATGGTTTTCTGCATCATTGGCATTTTTCCTAGAAATGAAACCTAACTTGATGTCTTCGCATCCACTAATCAGAGCTTGACATAGAAACTTTTGCAATTTGGAAGTATTGTTCCTAATTTCATTGGCAAGAAGAGCCCCCTTCTGGTTCTCAATTTGGGACCTCCAGTTTTTATGGCTCTTAATATCATATTCATTTAGAGCACAAATGTAGACATACGAGTTGGCAGCTCCTTTAAGTTTGGAGTGAATCTCACCTCTGGTTATAAGAGTGCAATTTCTTTTGGAAGATCCATGAACTATAGGGGGGATAACAATTTTTCTATACCTATAAAGGACATCCAAATTTTTGCAATTCTTGGCAGTAAAGGAGGCATTGTCATACTGTTCCGCCTCTTCATTTTTTAGAAGAACCTGCTTCCTAAATCGCTGATTAATTTTTAAGGCTTCAAATCCGAGAGCTTGTAAGCTATTAATTTTATTTTCATTGTCCTGAGTAGGAGCGTCGATGGAATTTTCATTAACAGTCAGTAGATCTACAATGGAATCTTCATCCTTATCAATAATAATTTTGTTTCCCTCTTTGGTTATTAATAAATGCCATGAGTACTTGGATTGCGCCGCTGACATGAGACAGGACAGTATCTGATCCGTCGAAACAACGATAATGTTAGTACTACTCAGGCCATCTGCTCCTGCAGAAGCTCTGCTTTTTTTATCCTCGTCAAGCAAGATCTCCATCAAGGATTGATCATCCATAGTTTTGCACACTAAGTAGTTATTGTCCTTATTTTGGTTTACTAATCCTGGGGGGCTCTTGACATTAATATTTTCAAATTTTTTATCATAGTATAATAATCTCCCTCTGAAGTAAATATCTTGCATTTGAAAGTTGTCCATTTTGATTAATTTTTTTGGCAATTCGTTAAACATGACTTCACATTCGACTGTCCATACGGGGGTGGGTTCGATACTCCATTCTGTGAATATTCTATGTCTAGCATTCATTCGTGCTGTTTTCGCTTGTTGAAGTAGTTTTTGCTTCTTCTGCTCAGCTGTCTTGATTCTGCTACTGTAGAGGTTATTTTCTTCTTCTTGCTTTTGTGCAAATGCTTGTGTCGTCTGTTTGTTCATATTTTTCTTCTTATTGTACAGGGGTCCCTTTTGCTTTTGTCCTGCCCGTAAGTCAACGGTTTGGAATTGCTGCTCGTCTTCCAATGCATTTCCTTCGTTCGAATTTTTGTTCGCATCCTTTACGTTCTTCTGATAGCTGCTACTGGTGAAGTCGCATATTTTTCCTATTTTTTCGAATTTCATAGATGGCTCAAATTGGTACTTCTTCAATTCCCCCATGCACTGATTTACCAGGTCTTCATTCTTCGAGTCAGGACCCCACGTCCTGTTGTTCGCCACTCCGATTAGTTTAAAGGCGGACATGTTTTCCCTCGGCGTGTGCTTGGAGTGTTATGCGGCTTATACAGCTATACCACTATATAGCTACTTCTTAACCCCTTTCGTGAATTGTGCCTGTTGGTTGGAACACCAGTTAGTCCCTCCTGGAGTGGACGGATCGAGAAGCCCGACTGGACTTGAAGAGCAGAACGAGGCAACGGACGACGCATGCGCGTGCGTATTCGCAGGGCCAAGCCTTCAAATATATATGTATAAACCGTTCACATATACATGCATATGCATACGTTGACCTTGACCCGTTCTTGCTAAACGTGTACCAAACGGAAACTCTCTTCTTGCGTCACGAAAGGGTTAAAAAAAAAAAATCATAAAAATGGAGCACAGCTCAACGCAAAAACGTACATATAGGTAATATACCTCCCACCACTAATTACTAATTTGGCATTTTGCTAAAACGAGAAGGGCAAAAAATGGGGCCTTCTTCGCATAACATGGGGTAGGTAAGTTTATCAAAGCTTGTACGTACACTCTGATGAGGCAACACTTTTTTTGAAGGCGTCGAAGAAAAATAGTGAATATAAAAAAAGGATCCCTTGAAAAAGAATTCACCTCATAAAACATGTAGTAAGCCGTTTTTTTTTTTTACCATGTAGTGGATTCACTCGAGGTGGTTACAGGACTGTAATTTCTTTTCCTAACCCTCTCCGAGTTCGTTTCCTTTTTCACCTTGGCTTATGCAAAATAATGCTGTACAAATGTATGACAATTTTTTTTGTTAGTTTTTTTTTATTTTCTCAAGTTTGCTGTGTAGCGCAATGTGGGTACAATTGAAGCACTTAAGTTGGGCCAACAGTGGCATAACGCCACTTCGCATATAATTTGCTGCACTATTTTTATTTTTTCTTTTCCACAGCCTTGAGCCCATTTGCGCTATAAAAATGTGGTGGAAGTGGAACGCAACGTTTTTTTTTTTTTTCGTTGCTTAAATACGTATATACATTTGTAGGAGTACTCCTATGGATGAATTTTTTTTTCTTTTTCCTTTTCACCCTTATTGGAACATTCCCTTCCGCTGGTGCCGTCTCATTCTGCCTTTAACGATATATTATGCGCAACAAAAAATCGGTTCACATATAAGACACCTCGGGAATATACCGACCGGTAGGATCACAACTCTATGACGTTGGCTCAGACTTAGCAAATGGGACGTGTGCACCGTCGTCATGCAATAACCCCCAACTGGCTCAAATTCCTCCTTTTCACCACACATCGCTCCCCGCGCTCGTTAACCACTGCACCAAAGGTTCTAATATTCAGTCATGTTCCTTTTCCGAGGGTGTATACTCAACGGTTGTATCGTCAAATTTTTTTTGAACGAGATCGTTTTACCTTCTTCCTAGGTGCACGTACGTATGTGAATATGTTACATACGCACCCAATGGTATGGAAAAGATGTCTGACCCCCGTGCAGAGGCAAACGGAGCTTCACCGTGGGAAATTACGACGCACATTTGTTTTACCACAGAGGTAACGCACGGATGGGGTGGCTTCATTTGAAAAAAAAAAAAAAAAAAAAAAGAGGACTTGAGGGGAAAGACTTCTACTTCATTTTGCGAATATTTTGTGGGAAAAACGGAAAAGAGGGAAGGGCTACGAAATTTTTCTCTGTTGCGATAAGGAACAATTTTCTTTCTTTTTTAAAATAACCCTCCAAAAATTTCGTCATTCTGGGGAAATAATAACCCTCCACTGTGGTACCATTTCGGGGAAATAGTTCCTGCACCGTTTAGTCATTCTTTGATTTCCAGCCCCCCACTTCGGCGTCCTCCCTACATTTTGAAGAAAAATTAATTATGCATGGACGCATGTAATTACTTCTCTTTTCACTTGGGTGTGTCTCTGGGGGCTTAGGGCAACGAGCGACCATGCTCTCATGCATTTATGTGCTGGTGTAGCCTCTTCACCTTTGCATCGAGCATACGCAGTGACAACATGTGAGCAACTTCAACCAGACAAAGGTAATCGCAATTTATTCATCATTGAAGCGTTAGCGTAAAAAAATAAAACAATAGAAACTGTAACGTAGTAAAAAAAAAAAGGACATCCAGCGGGGAAACACATCCACTTTTAACAAATTATGCTAAAGGAATATAAGTGAATGGCAACAGAGTGAATGACGACGAATTCCTGGTGACCCCCTGTTGTAGGCAACCCAATATGTTCTGCGGCAGGCTTATGCATAAATAAGGGCGAATACGCTCGAAGGGACGAATGCGAGTGTTGAGTCAGTGACAAATCTTTCCACCCCACGTTTGAAGATAGCACTCATTGAGGCCTCTCACACACATATATATTTATATCTATACGCGCTAATATGATACATTTACGAGACGCGTTGCGAAAAGGTGGCGCAATAAAATGCGTAAGCATTGTCGAAAGTAGGCGCAGAATATGGGATAAAGAGCTGAACAGATTTTCCCCCATAGGCAACAGAAAATTGCACAGTACAAGTTCACCAAATGGAGAACCACGTGAAGATAACAACAGTGGTAACCTTATTGGTGAAAAAAAAAAAAAAAATAATAATTTCTTCAAAAGTTTGTTTGTGACAACATTCTTCTGTTACACTTTCTACGAAAGTTTGCACATTATAAAGGATCATGAACTGGTTAGGGAAAAAATAAAACAGCTCCCAGCGTTGTCTGACTTTATAGACTTAAAAATAATGCCACTCGTAATGTTCTTGGATGGAATGGCTGGCAAGCTTAAGGGGTACCTTCTCGTGATTGTAAAAAATGGCAATTATTATTCGCTTCACTTGTATCGCTCATTAAAAGCGTTTATCTTCAAGAGTGATGACAATTTCAGAATTTTCGCCGGTCCGGTTGAAAGGCGGGATTTGTCTGAGCCGCTTTCTTTTCTGAGGGAGGAGAACAGCATAGATGTTCCCGGTGAACCTGGTGATGGCGAAGGAGGTACCCCTGCCACCGATGCCACCACTCCTACCGCAATCCTCCATGAAGATAATTTGAAACACGCCCATATTGCGGAGGTTCCCCCCAGTGAACTGCACTCACTTATCTACTTTGATGAGGAGGTGCATGGGGCTAATAGCATGCCGGAAGGAGGAACCCATTACGAGGGCCTCCCAAGACAAGGGACGCCCAAGGAGACAGAAGATGCGAATACAGTTATAGAGACTTCTCCTAATGGTAACTTAGAGGAGCATTCCTCAAGTGATGACATAAGAGTTGTCATCGATCTGTTCAACAAAGGAAACTCACCCGATGGGGAAGAAGAACAAGATGTGCTTAATTTATATAGTGAGGATATGGCCACCGCCTGCCCCATCGATGGGTATGACGATATGAGCACGGGGGGAACTACCGTTGAGAATACGTCCGATGGTGAAGAGACTTCTCATGGAGAAGAGGAAAGGGTTGGCAAAAAAGAGATGTTTCTAGCTGGACAAGTGGAAGAAACAGAGAGTATGACAAATGGGCATCACAAGCCGAATGAAAATATTTGTGCAAATGGGGAAGCTAATAATCGAGGAGAGGATTACCGCGCTGATGTGCCGCTAAATAGCGAGGCTCAGCAACCCCCCCGGATCAGCAGCATCAAGGAGATCCAACAATTATTCTCAGATGGAGTGGTTAATGTCACGAAGAAGACGCAGGATGAGGAGAACAAAGAGCAAAGGTACACTAATCCGCATAGAAAAACCGCGAAAACCTTGGTGGAGGTGAAAGGACTATGCAAAGAAGAGCAGAAAAAGGATGGAGGCGCGGAGAAAGTAAGTACGTACGAGACAAATGCGGACATTTTACCCCAAAGTGCTTCCCATTACGTCGAAGAAAAAGACACAACTGAAGGAGGCGAACCGAGGGCGAAGACAAAGCGGAATGATAATTGCGACGATCAGTACAATCCTAACACACCCCAGAGGAACCCCAAAAATGGCACACACATCAAAGCACTAATAGCAGAGGGGCGATCAGAAATCCCACTGAACGATAGGGAGATAAAAGGAATTGTAAAAAGTGAAGTCGAAAAATTTGAAGGAGAAATTAAAGAGCTGTCCAAGGAAGAGCTAAAGGATAAAATAATCACCATGTTCCTAAACGAGTTGATAGCAAGAAAATATAAAGACATATTGATGGAAGAAGAGAAGGAAGCACTGATGAGAGTCCTAACGATTAAGTATAATGATATATATTTAAAGGAAAAAGAAAAAATGCAAAAAAAATTAGAAAAATGTATGAGGAAGAAACTAAAACAGGCAGAAATGATACTAAAGAAAAGTTACGAAAGTGAAAAAGAAATTTTCTCATGTCTAATGAGAAATCAAAAAAAGGAAGAGGTCAAAATGGAAAGAAATAAAATAGAAGATGAATTAAACAGGGTAAGGGAAAACTATCTGAGTAAAATAAATTCCTATGCTTGTGACGTCGATGCTATGAGGGACAATCACTTTAGGGAGAAAGTCAAAATGGAAAAGCTAGAGACTATAAACGATATTCAAAATATACTCGTCCATTTGCAGAACTGCATTATTCAAGATTTATCCATTGAATCTATTTTAACAGATTTGAAGAGAAAATTTAAAAAAGATCCTTTCCTAGACACGGTATTCGCTACCTTGCCGGATAACTTTTTTTCTCATACGTTCAAACCAACATGGAATAACATAGATAAAATGAAAAAAGAATTTTACATTTTATACAAAGAAGGGGTGAGAGAAGCCTTCATACAACATAATGAGAATTACTTCATAAAAAAAATCATAGGTAGGGTTGGTTCCTTTTTTTACTTAAATTATGAAGCCAAAATGAGCATTATTTTGCATCGAGCTTTGAAGGATGATTCTGCTTTAAAGTCTAACTTGGTACATTTGTCTTACGCCTTAAGCAGCGTGCAGCAAAATGACTTTGTCGATGCCCTGCGCTATATTGATGAGCTCACCGGCAGCTGCAAAAATACGTTTTCACCCTTCAGCGAGCACGTCAGAAATGTGATTCTCTTTAGATACTACTTGCGGCTAGCTGTGTCCAGGCTGATGCTGGCCGGCAAGGCTTTGCGCCTGGCGGAGTAGGCGAGGTGCGCCGATCCTCGCCCGGTGATCACCAGGCCAGGGAACCCCGTTGGTCAGTAGACACTTTGGTCAGTAGACACGTTGGTCAGTAAACGCGTTGGTTAGTAAACCCGTTGGCCAGTAAACGCGTTGGTTAGTAAACCCGTTGGCCAGTAAACCCGCTGCCCACGTAACCACTTTACCACATAACCATTTGACAATTTTTTTACCACGAAATGGCCATTACGAGAAGGTATATCTTGTTATGCTTCTCAGATTTCCTGCTCCTTGGTTACCTTTTTCCACCTATTTGTATTTTCTTTTATTTATTTTTCTTCCTTCACCCTTCTGCACCTGCTATGCCTGCTTAGACATCTCATGTTCGATTTCCACCTCCTCCTTTTCACCACTCGAGGGAGGCAATTTCATAGTCGATTTTATAAACCAGTTTTGAAACATAACGGAGAGGTCTTCCCCCTCATGAATGTTTCATCGCAATTTGAAAAAGTGATCCCGTCTTGGGTAGGTCGCCGCAAAAATGGTGCATTTTTTCACAAAGCTGTTCTTTTCGCGCGGTTAGAAGAACATACTCTTAGTGTTCTCGCCATGTTCGCATGTAATGTGTGCGTATACAGATGCCCCTGACAAAATGTCGGTTAAACGTGTGGGTGCTTCTTATTTCCCTTGTGATATGCTATGTAATGCGGCGAAGCAGTGCCGAATCGATACCACCCATTTTTGCTTCTCCATCGTTATGGTCTCCAACGGAAGCCACAAAAGATTGCTGAACAGGCGGGGTATAGGAGGTGAAAAAAAAAAAAAAAAAAGATACCATCAGATGATCACTAACAAAGAGGTTCTTCCCATTTAAGCAGTAAAATGGCGTATGCTCACAAAAAATAAAAAATAGAATAAAAAAATAAGAAAATATATATCACTTCTTATGTGATCCTCATTTTTTTTTTTTCTCAAGGACATAGACACCATTTCGAAATGGCCCAGTTGGAACGATATGGAAGAACCCCCGAGTATATTTTTTGTCGCATCGTGTATTCGGCGAACGATTATTTTGTTATGTCATCTGCGTGGAGGGGCGTTAATGGTTACCCTCGTAAATAAGCATACAGAATTTTTTTGTACCTCCAAGCATCAGTGTGAATAAAACACATTTGTTAAAAAAACGAAAAAATGAACATCTTAATCGAAACGTGCAACACACGTTCCGACGTTGTAGCAACGTGTCCTGCATTTGCCATGTCGATTCATGCGCATGGGTAAGGAAGCTCCTTTTTTACCATGCCCTTTTCCCCGGTTCTTTTCTTTTTTTTTTTGCAAAATTGTGCGATAGTGTCTCTCAATTTGAAATCGAATAAAGTGGCTTCTACTCTGCAGTTGCTAACAGAAACGCATCAAACCTTTTTGTCGTTATACTTTTTCTGGGGACATAATCCAAAGCTGCTTACCTGAAATTATCGAATTCGCTCGCGAATGCATGAACTTATTAAATGTTGGTGACACAAATGCGGAGCTTCACCAATGCAAGGAGACCTGTGGATATATACAAATAGAAAAGGCAGATCGATGAAAAAGAGCCCTCCTTAGATGCTAAGAGCTGGTGCGCGCACGAGCGCATTTCATCACACATGGGCAGCATCTATATAAAAGAACAACAAATATATACAAATTAGAATATATATATAGAAGCCAAAAAAGGTATAAATATATGAGCATAAAAACCGATTCATGATCAATTTTGCAAATGCCCCATTGTGCAATAAGAAGAAAAAGAAAAGAGAAAAAGGGACGCATATGGGGCGACTTCTTGGACGTATGCCTTAAATCGATCAGTACTTGATGCGCCGACACTGATGCACCACAAATTGCAGATCCATTAGACCACTTACCCAAATGCTTTAGGCGATCCACAGAAGGGGAGGAACCCTCCCAATTCGCTAAAGTGTAATATAGTGTGGTTGCACAAAATAGCGTAGGAAGGGTATGCCTGTTCCCGTAACCCTATGCCCCTAAGCCTTCGTTCCTGCTTGGCCGTATTGCTCGTGTCCTTGTTCGCCTTTACGACCATTCAGTTATGCTGTGATGCGGCCACAAATTGATTACTTTTTTATTCAAAAAGGTTTCGCAATATTTTTTTCGCTTTCGCATGGAAGGGGCACTACGCTTTGGTGTGCCGAGGCAAAAAATGCCAAAAGGTCACTTAACGGAATGAGGAGGCCTTGCCAAGGAGTGTGGCCTCAAATTCTGTGTAGAAAAACGTCGCATAAACGGAAACGGCACGTATAAATAACGATGCATGATGAATGCACAAGTGCATGTGAAAGTGCATAATTTATGCGCTACCCCAGTAAAGAAAAATTCGAAAAGGGTGCATTGGAAAATAAATACAAAAAAATAAAACCGAAATCGTGCTGGCACTTAGGTGCGTTTTGTTTGAGCTTCGACATTACACACGTGCATACATAATTGTACGTTTCAAAAAAAAACAAATAACATTTCAGATGGTAGAACAAAATTTGAATGCCATTTCGTAAGAAGTCGTTTTTCCTTTTTTCCATTTAGCGGAATTCTTTTCGTAAGTAGTTTTTGTTTTTTCTTTTTTTCTTTTTTTTCCATTTGAGTCCACTTTTTTCCTCATTTGTGCATGCACTTTTTTTTCCCTTTTTATTTGTCCCTACATCCGTTTATCATAAAAGGATATTTTCACAATGCACGTACGCTTATGTATGCAAATTGGTCCACTATTGAGGGAGTGAAGGGGTTATTAAAATTATAGAATTGATGAGAAAAAAAAAAAAATCCTGTGGTAAATTTTCGAACAGAAAGTTGTTCAAAAAAGTAAGTCCCCCTATGCAGTACCCTTACTGTACCTTTTGAATGTTAGTAGAGAAATATGCCAAATGGAAATATGACCAATTATCATTCGCATGCATTTATGTCTGGGGTTTTTTGCTAGATTTCTTGGAGCTTGATTTTTTATTTTGGCGGTTAATCGGTTATTCGGTAGGGTGATCAGCAGGTGTGGAAGCATTTTGGCATATACCCCCCTCTCCGCCGTCACACCTTAGAGGAATACTATTCATAACGGCATCATGTCAGAGGATTCTCTAAGGCAGGTGTTGCTCATTTGTATTTTTATTTGGGGCATTTCACTTGGTACGGCCCTTCGTATGGAGTGGAAAGGCTCTCCTGTTGTTGAAAGGTGAGTTACAAAAAAGGGGCTACTTGCCTAGAACAAGGCTTCTTCCTCTTTGGACAAAAAAATACACGCAAGAATACACTTAAAGGGAGGAATGGAAGAATGTTGAAGTCCTATTCAGCTTCGGGTAGACGTGCAAAAACGCGTCATGGTTTTTTTTCCCTTGGAAGAGTTTACATTTCGACCAATTAAACCATATTGTGATAAATTCTGTTCGGCGAAAAAAATCGTCTCGAAGAGTGCGAACAGCGGGGACCCATGGAAGAGTGGTTTCACTGGAATGCTTAGACATCTAAGGAATCAAATCCCTTTTCTGTGCGTTTAAAAAATGCACATGTTGCTTAGTTATAAAAAGATTTAGCAAGTGCCTTGCGGCGCCAAAGAGAATCGATCCATTTGGCAACAAATAGTCTTCGTGCCATTGCCATAATAGAAGCCATCTAAACATAGAAAATTTCGAGCGACACGATGGCAAGATTGCACGGTGCTTGAAGGTATGCATTGACATGTGTCAATAAAGGCAATTCATGTGGTTCGGTGCCTTTTGACGCGGTTTGGAGGGCTTTGGAGCGGTTTGATGTAGTTTGACACGCTTTCATGTGGTTCAACGAAGGGCGACGTGTCGCCACCAGTCGTGACATGGCACGATAATGACGTCTATTGGTCGATAGGCCTTTTTGAAAGAGGAAAAACGTGTTGGCATATTTGTTCGCCTTATTTTTAACAGCGTCCACTTTTTTTATTTTTTCCTTCTTCTTTTCATTCAAATTTGGAGCAAAAACACTTAGGGCAACGGACGATGGAAGTGGGAAAAAAATAAAAAAAATTAATTTGACTCTTGAAAATAAAGTAAAACAATCAAATGTTAATCCTTTTCCGTTCATTCATTTCTTCGTTTGTACCTTTTTTTTTTTCCAATTCCTCCTTGGTATGTTCCTTTTTTACAATTTTCTTTAACAGCTATAGTTAATGATGTATATATATGTATAGATCCATGTTGCTTTTTTTTTCCCTTTCTACATGCATATCTATACAGAGTGGATCATTCTTTTCAGCTGCATTTCTTTTTACATACAAGTTGGGGTTTCACTTCCTGTCGGTTTGTCAACATTGGGTGCCTCCCGTTTGTTACCCATCGTCCGATGCACACCCACTGTTGGGTTTTTTCAGAGTACCCTTTGTTTCTCATTCTTTGCTAGTGACTTTTCACTGTAGCTGCTAATGTTCCCTCCGGCCAACTTTTTTTTTTTTAATTTAAGGAGGGGCGCAAATTTCAGAGCAATTTTACTCGAATGTGCATGACTTCAAAACGTTACTGCATGCTACGGACAGACTCACCAAAAAAAAATATACGAGAGGGGACGTGCGTATATGAAAAAGTACATGTGTTTTTATATGGGCATGCGGAACGAGCCTGTGCCCCCTGCATGCAACATAAAAATGAGCAGAATTGTTAATGCCGAGTAAGCTGAGAGAGTCGTTAACAATTTTTGGCCCAACTCGGTTATGTTTCATCGTCAATTGGTGCGCAAAAATAAGCCATCGTACAGTCGCGGGGGGGTTTAAAATTCAGTTGGACTCATCTGATGAGAAAAATTCGGACAGGTTGTATACGTATACATGTTTATATATATGCATACCCAGATATCCTTGCGCGAGTACATATGCCAGTAGCAACTGTAACCATCTGTATATATCCGCAGAGTTGCAACTTTCGTTGGAGAAAAACAAGCCTATTCACTTTTACTGCTGCCGTCACTATCACCTGCACCGCACATTCACAAGGCGTTTTCCTCGCCACGCCTGCAGGAGCGGAAAGTCAGTGCATACCCGCACATACACGTACAGGTGCTTATTCACTTATATGTGCACATGCGTGTGGCTTGAACCAACAACTGGTTTCGGGACACACCAATTAAGCACGTTTGCGCGGCCACGTATATATATATATGTTTACACGTGCGCCCCCGCGGTGAGGCCCACTTCTCACCCATAAGCGAAGTGCAACGCCGGCGTTACATAAATACATTGTTTTGTACGTATATATATTCTGGTGCGTTTTTCGCCAAGTGCAAATTGACCATGGAAAAAAAAAAAAAAAAGTGGATATAAGTGAGGGATTCACTTCCAGTGCCCACAGGCGTATATGGATATATTCGTATACGAGTATCCCATTTTTTTATGTGGAACATTAAGTACAAATTACTTAAGCTTTGCGGGTGAAAAATTCATGCATGTACAATTGGCCTTGGCTCACGCCCGCCTGCCACTTGCGCAATTTAGGCGAACAGATCGTGTGCGCACGTTTATTTTTACGTATGCGAGTGTTGCGTATGTACGTATGAAGCATCATAGTGTACCTCTATGTATATGGCGGTAAGAATCATGATACTGTACACTATTTATATGTATGTACCAAACATCACATTGTACTTGTATTATATGCATATTTCCTGCGGACGCGTGAGAACATATGATCAACCGAGCGTCGAAGCACAATTCGTTGACTGGTGAAATCGTGCTCCCCCGAGTTGCATATCCGCAACCCAGTTTTTTTATGTGCCTAACAATATTTTATCACAAGTGAAAGGCACAAGTACAAATCATGATTGGGCATAAGTTGTACTATGCGTGCTTAAGTGAACCCACGCGCATACTACATGTGCGATATTGACTTGAACATTTGCCTTATACTATACGTGTTAAATGCGTATACACGCGTGGCGCACACATAATGTGATACATGCGCGCAGCTCAGCGGAATGTGCCACGTACATATTATGGCGCACATTAGGCCACATAATGTAATATGTTCATTTTTACATATTCTCAGAAATATATGAATACATGTCATCAGTATACATATCGCTTTACGTTTGCATTTATCGTAAAAAAAAAAGCACAGAAACCCCAAAGTTGATGCAGCAATTGTTAATTCAAATTGCATTAAAAGAAAAAAATTGAGGTCCATTCCCACGAACTGTTAGAAAGGAAGTAAAATAATAGATGTATGAATGGGAAGAAAAATTAATTATTTATTTATTTGCATATTTTTCCTGCTAGTTCATCTTCATGTTGTTTACATATATTTGCATGAAATATGCCCATTTTTAAGGAACCATATTTTTGTATTTTTTCCCCCCGCGACATTCCTTTTTAAATTATCTCATTTTCTTCTAATTTGAGTAAAATCTGTTTATGCACATAATAAACCAAACACGAGGCGAAGCAGTAGCTTGCGAAAAAAAATAAAAAGTGCTCAAAAAAGTGAGATATTTATAATACATATATGCATATATATATATACATACATATGACTATATACATTTTTATATATATAGCGTGCAATCCCTGATCCATTATACGCAAACCAACTAGAATTGAACCGGTAAGATTGAACAAAAAACGCAAAAATTAAGGATAAAAAGAAGGAAGCTTATAACAAGGGAAGGTAGCACTTGATACGATATAAGATTAAGATAGGTAAGATATTACGAAGATTATAACGAAATTAAAAAAAAAATAAATAAATAAAAGATTAAAAATTAGGCACAACAAAATAACACTCATAAGGGGTTGAAAACAGAAAAAGAAAAAAAAGCCAAATCGATCGCGGATATAAAAAGAACATAAAAACAGTAGTATATATGATCTTCCCGTAGTTTTACATTTTTAAATTCTGTATTTTTTTTTCCCCCCTTTTTTTTTCCTTTTTTTCCCTTCTCCCCTTTTCCCATTTTCCCCCTTTTTTCCATTTCCTCTTTTTTTTTTTTTTTTTTAAATTTATATACGTACTTTTGAAATATTTATACACAAATTATGCCAGCAGGGGGGGGCGTAATATAGTCCCCGTACTTATTGCAAGAATTTAGGCATTAACATTTGCCCTTATGCACATATGGATATGCAATTGTTTTGATATATATGTACATACATATATACACAAAGCGCACATACATGTACAAGGCCGCAGGTGATGGGGCAGCTCCATGTGTTTATGGCATATGCCTAGGTGACAAATCTCGGGGCCTAAACCCATTCACGGAGAAACGTGACTTGGCATTTTCACCCAGCGCGAGTGCAGTATCGTTGGAAATCTGCCCGCGCTGCACCCGATTTATTTCCACTTCTGTTTTGTGCGACGAGTGCCTGTATGCACCTGTACATACGTGTGTATGCGTCGCAGAGCGAAACGACTCTTAAGTACGTGCATGCATAAGTACACATAAGTGCGGATAGATACGTGCACGTACGTACAGATATATACCTGCGCGCCTCTACTTTTGCGTGCCCTCCCGCCTTGCACGCACTTGGTATTAATACATACACGCGCGAGTGAAATCTACCAGTGAGCACGAAAACCTATACATTAAAGGTTAAGGGGCACAAACAGACAGATGCGTTCAGAGCAGAGAAAGACAGCCACAGCAGTTACAAGACGCCCATAGCGCATAACCGAAAGGAGAAGTACGAACTTTTCTTGCGCCCAGTTAAGGGGGACTTAACATGGGCAGAAGTTCTGAGGCCATCATGATATAGTCAGCCAGCCGAGCGCGCGCAGCACAGATTTGGCATACTTAGCTCGCGTAGAAGCTGCGTACGGAACCATTTTGTCGACGCCCCCATTTTTGAAATGCCCCTTCCATATTTTTAAGGCATAACGAGAAATTACTCGTCTGTGTGTGAAGACCAGTCTAAGTCCGCGCCTGAGTTCTTTATTGAGTCTTTGCATGATTCCTTGCGTGCGTGGTCGTGTGCTTCTTTTCATTTGTGCATATCCTCGTGTGTACACCTTTTAATGCCCCCTGTGCCTTCACGCGTCCCTTCCCTATCCACGCGCATACACGTGTATGTATATATATGTATATGCGTGATGCACATGCACGAGTGAATACCCCCCGCTGTTTGTACTCGCACGTACCCGCCTTACATACATATATGCACGAGGAAGAATACGGTCCATCTTCAACATGGAAGGATTAGCGACGGATAAAGACCTCACCACCATGAATGAAGAGACGAACGAAAACGGAAATGATCTGTTAATAGGGCTAGCAACTCTAAACGATCACGAAGGAGAAGCAACTTATGATAAGAAAGAAGATATGGCGATATCGATGCATATGAACGAGCAAGACAAATTAGACGTACCATCATTGGTCGAAATATGTAAACAACAATTGATAGTAATTTTGAAGGACATGTCAGCCGATTCGAACAGTTCGGATGAAAAAAATTCTTTTATGTATCACCTGAACAGGTTAAGAAGTGCAGTAACCGTTGTAGATTTGCACAATTATATTGCCGTGTTTGGCCCGTGTCTAAGCTTCAACAAATTGCCTTCCACCTGGAACATATCCGTATGTGATTATTTAAAGCAGCAGCTGAACATACTTCGGGCTGCGGACTCACAACAGAACTCAAGTAACTACGTTAGCTATTTCGAACTACCTAACGATTATGAAGATATTTTAAATGACAAGAAAAGGAATACAACCATCACGGGTAGTAACTCCCTACAAGGGAACCTTCTGTCGAATAACATAAATTCGCAGCTGTCCATGAAGGGGAGTAGCATACATATGAATTCTGCCAACAGTACGAGTAATGTAAGCGGGAATGTAAGTGGAAATGCCACTGGACAGATCAGTATGAATAGCGAAGGAGGCAATTTAGGATGTTTTACACTAGGTGATCATGAAGATAGCAACATTGTAGAAGATTATTATGATTGCCTCATGAGGACGAAGTTATCGGATGATTCCTCGAATTGTTTAAAATATATGATGAATTCGAAGAATGATTCATTGAGCAATACGGATCTGGAAAATGTTATATCTTATTTGAAAAAGTACGAAGTGAAGGCTAATAAAAATTATTGCAGTTTGGAGGATGAGTTGAAATATAGTAAAGATTCAGATTTTGACTACCAGGAGGACTACCTAAAGGATAAGACTCTGTACGATTCCGACTTGGATGATAATAATTTATTTGATAGCAACCTGATAAGCAGGAACATGAACGACAGCAGTAGCAGCGTGATGAATATGAATTTGGGCATTCCGAATAGCGGCACGGGAAATAACAGCAGCAACAATTTCAGTAGCAAGAATTTTAGTATGAAATATGATGCTTTGAAGAAGAATAACAGCGATGTTATGAACACATGGGCGAGAGCATGCACCGAGGGGCATCCTGAATATCTGCCTAGGATTCCTGGAGTTCGATTCAATCCCAAGAAGCAACAATGGCTAGCTGCTTGGAACGATAACACCAGAGAGATTAGGAGGTACTTCTCCGTTAAGCAGTACGGTTTTGAACAAGCCAGAATTTTAGCCGTGAAAGCTAGACAAGAAGCTGAGAAGGCAGGCGCTCGGTGCAAACCCATGTTCCATGTGCATGGAAGGAAGACAATGGAAAACGGTGCAAACGATGTTATGAAGAATAATAATGAACTGTTGATGGAGGATGGTACCATCGCGAACAACAACGCAGGAGGGAATAATAACATTAGAGGAGGTAGCAGCCTGGGTGGCAATATGGGCATGATCAGTAGTAGCGCAAACAATGCGACCCACGCAGGCACAAACGTAGCGATGACCAGTGGAGCCATGCCCGCAGGAGGAACACACGAACATATAAACAAGAAAGAATTATTGAAAAATGAAAATAACAAAGGAATTAAGCGAGGAAGGGGGAGACCTCCTAAGAGGAAACTGAGCGAAGATTCGCACCTATCACTTGACGATATGGAGCAGACGCTATGTAGAAATGGAGAAAACGCAGAATTGATGGAAGCTATTGAATCTTTCGATAAAAACTGTACGAGACCGATGAAGGGAGTATCGTACAATGATCGAAAGGGTTCTTGGCTAGCCTATTGGTCCATAGGGAAAAATTTCCAGATGAGAAGATTCCCCATAAAGAAGCTAGGTTTCGAAAAGGCAAAGGAGCTAGCCATTCAGTGTCGATTAGAAGCAGAACAAGCAGGAGCGACAACCACGGAAAATAGAACCAAAAGGATTAGAAACTTGCTAAACATAAATTCGGAAAATACGATGGATGTAATGATGGACATGAATTCACTAGACCCGGAAGATAATCTAAATGACACGAATAAAAGCCTCAATGCAAATATGATAATGTCGCAGATGCATTACTATAATGCACACGGAATAAATAGCAACAATAATATGCACCCAAATAAAATGCCACATAGTGATTGCCAAGAAAGCGAAAATGATTATTCGCCTACGAAGAGGACAAGGGCACCCAGAGGAAGAAGAATGGAGAGCCTAACTGCACGTGCTAGTGCTCTCACCCCAGTAGAAGGGGTTCGATTCGACCCATATTCCTATTCCTGGTTCGCCAAATATCTGGAAAATGAAAATTCCAAAGAACCCAAAATATCCAAATATCTTCTAAAAAAATGGGGGTTCAATAAGGCACACAGTTTGGCTGTCCATACGGTAAAGTGCGCTTACAAAGCTGTCCCATTTACAGACGAGGAGCTGATTAACATATTTAATGTAGACTCGAAAAATCTCGTAAATAATCAAAACAATCTGATGAATTTGACATTTAAGGACACATACAGGAATAATACAGGGGCCAATGGGAACGCTTATAACGCCAGCAACTACGGTGCAATGGGTGTATCGAGTGCGGCGAATAGCGCGCTTATGGGCAACATGGGGTACATGAATGGTACCATGGGCGGGAGCGTTGGCATGGACCATGTTGTGAGTGGCATGGCTATTAGCGGGGTCAGCGGCGTTGGTGGGGTTAACAGCGGCAACTTTGCGCAAAACATAGGCGCCTACAAAGAGGGCGTGAACAACACACACGGCCTAATGAACAACATAGGAAGCGGCGGGACGGAGAAAAACACAGACATGAGCAGGATGAATGATGAGGAAACGACTATCGGGAATGCAAGTGGCAACAACGTTAATATACTGACTAGCATGGATAACACGAAGAGCATGATAAACAACGTCAACGGTGCCAACAACATGAATGCTGCTAGCAAAATGGGCATAATTAACAGCTGCACGTATAACTACAATAGTGGGGGTAGTGGCATAAGCAACGGCGCAGCGGGAGCACTAGCAGAAGGAGCTAGCCCAAATAATTACCACCACGGGGGATTCTTATCCAACAGCGGAATCATTGTCGGTGCCAACTTAGGTGAGAACAATGTGAACGCCTCATCATCCATTAAGAGCAATACAACCATTGCAAATGGAGTAAATGTGTATATGAATGAACAAATGGGGTTAAATACAAACTACAGTGGAAAAAGTTTCCCATCAGGGGAAGTGTTAGTTGCGCCGGGTGCGTCCGCAGCAATGTTGGACGATGAAAATCCAAAGGTGGTAAACAAAGCACACCTAATGGACAGCAGTAAGGGCGCAGGAAATAATGCCTGTGGGAATGTCACACAGAGTAATAATGTAGATAATTACCTAATGGTTAGCGAGTGTGTTCTAAATAATAACAACAGAAAGGTGAGTGGGGCTCATGTTGTCAACAAGACGATATGTGGAGGTGGAGCAGCAGCCTTCGGCCATCACCACATGGATGACCCAGCTGTAGTGGGTGTAGGGCGACTGAACGAAATGCACATGAATGGAGAGAATGACATTAACACGAATCCAACAAATGCTCAATACGGCATTGCATCCTCCGGTTCTAACATAAACATGAATTCTGAACCGGTCATGAATAAAGGCCTGGTCAACAGCTCCAGTGGCACCGTAAATATGGGAGCGAACAACAATGATAGTAATAGCAGCATCCTGGAGGGACGTGATGTAATAGACGGCAGCAGAGGCGTGGAGCATTCCCTGGAGCAAGGGAAGTTTGTAAATATAATGAACGACTCAGGAAACATTGATAACGGTGTCAACAATGACAACGGCGCGAATAGTAGCTATGCTAATAATAGCCCTTATGGCCCAAACGCAGGTGCCAATTTTAACTCGTACGACGGTGAAAACGCGGGCACGGCCAATGTGATTGGCTCTAACGCCAATGAGCTGAACGACTCCTCCATGTATTACATGAACGTGAAGCCGGAGATAAAGACGGAGCAGTGAGGAGAAATCACCAGAGTTGTTAGGACGAGGAGGGTAAGAAGTGAAGTAGGCAAAAAAAAAAAAGGAAAGAAAAAAAAAAAACAAGCGGACCACGCGCAATGCGCTAAGTGGCGGAAGAAGCCCGAGAAGGCCCAGCCCAACGGCCATCGTAGACGAAACGAATAAAAAGTTTGGTGAGGAAGTCGGACATGGCAGTCGTACCCGGACGGAGACACAGAGTTGCACTGAGGCGTCCCTGTGTGATGTATGCGACGTCGTATATAAGGATGATTATGTGCCACTGTGTGTGGCCCTCCGTGAGTTGCTAGCGAAGCAGAACGAACTTTTTTTTTTATTGCATTGTAGCCTTTTATTGGCCATACGTATTGGCCATGTATTGACTATGTATTGACCTGACCCTCCATCGTGCCATTTAATTTTTTTTTTACCGTGTTAGAAGACACCTCGTTATTGCTACATAACCGTGTTTGCAATTCGTTGATATATGTATGTGTATATATGTATATATATTCTTTTTTTTATTTCCCTCTACTCTTTTCTTCCCATTCGTTCCCAGTTATTCGATTCCCACCATTCGTTTCTCATCATTCGTCCCTCACCATTCGATATTACTCCCCCTCACCAGATTACCATCTTGTTTTTTAAATAATTTAATCAAGTATGAATTCATATGTTTTTATAAATCCCCCCTTTTTTTTTATTTCCCCTTATGGATTCGCAAAGGCGCGTGTTTGCTGTGTTGCATGAGTGTGCATAATGTGTCTATATACAAACACGCACACATACGAAGGCACCTACATACAGACAAACGAGCAAACAAACAAACAAAGAGACACATGTACGTGTTAAAATGTTACCTCCGTTGCATATATGTTCGTGTCATAACCCGTACATTGCACACGCGTTGCCCCTTCGCACTTTACACTTTGTGAATCACAACATACCGTATTTACTATTCTTTTATCTTTTTTTTATCTTCTTTTTTTCCTTTTTTTTTAAATGTAAACCTATCCATTGTATATGTAGATCCGCGTATGTGCACATATACGGGCATGCACATGTGTGTATTTTATCTGCATATATATTGGGGCGCTCATATGTACGGAGTTGCATATGTGCCCATTATTATATGTTGCCCACTGCATGTGATTTTTATGTTATAAAAACACATTTCGCATGAATAAGATGAAAATAAAATTTTCTTCTTTTTTATATCAAATTGAAAGAAAGTTGGTAGAATAGGATTTTTTCTTTTTTTTTTTCTTTGGACAGCCCAGTGGATGGGAAGTTTAACATGTCCTAATTGGCGATTCGTTTTCGCGTGGAACCTGGCTTGGATCAGCATGGGTTAAGAAAAGTGGGGAGAATGAGTTCAATCGCTTGGTGTAAAATTTAGATAGACACATAAACATATAGGTGTATATATGTCTACATATGCATATATGTATTTCCGCCAGGCGAAAGCTCTGTTCCCCCCCGATTTATACACATCATGCGTTATAGAGCTCATCAAGTGAAGTGGCCAAATAGGCGGTCATGCTCAAGCCACTCTCTGTGTTGTGGCGTTTTATCCCCCTTTTTTATCTTCCCCTTTTGACAAAATTAGCAATGTTGGTAATTTTCTCGCGTAACTTTGGCGTGATTTCCGGCTTGGCTCTCTGATGAATCTCCAGATGCTTCAATATTTGACCCGCCCGATACCAGTTAATGTCACTATTTTGTCGCAAACTCATAAATAAGTTTTTCTTCCCATCCAGAAGCATGCCTCGGGTCTCTTTTAATTTTCTGTTCGCCTCAAGTGATAACCTTTCCTGCTTCTTGGCATCCTTGTAATTTTGGCTTTGTTTAACTCCGTAAGGTATTTTGTCCTTTATCTTTTTTAGTAAATTGACCCGGCACCGCACGATCATTTTTTTTTTAATCTTCCTCTTCTTCTTATGTGTGTGTGCGAAGGGCTAGAGTCTATAAAGATATTCCCCAGTGAGTGATGGACGTCTTCGTAGTTATATGTGCAGACACGTTGTTGCGCTTCTCTTCGCGCGCCCCCCTACACACACGTTAAAGCAGATCAGCCACAACGCTGTGTCGGAGCTGCAACTACGGACCATTCGTGGGCTTCTCTTTAGAAAATTTATCGCCTCGTATATCTGTTTATGCATTTGGAGGAAGCTGTTGGGGGCAGGCAAATGGAAGAGAAGTGATCGCGAATCAACCCGTTAACCAAATGGAAAACTCACAAAACGAAAGAAAAAATTTTATCAACTTTGGGAGAACACTTGATGGGATCGCTACGGAGGGGTCACTCGTTGGATGGCATGTTTTTCTCTGCCTCATTATCCTCCTATGCTCAGTGCACCACCAGTTTCGGTAGTCCCTTCGATTTTATCGGACAGGGGAAGATTGCCAGAATGTACTTTTTTGAAGCGACTGTGTGCATAAAGAGGAAGGAAAGAACAAATGACAACAATGTCACATATGTCCACATTAAATCGGCTCGAACGGGAATGCTTAGGTAAAATTCGTATTAGAAATTCGTTTCATCCACCCGCATGGCGAACCTGCACACATGGGCCGCGGCAAAGACATCTATACGTGCATATGATACAGCTAAAAGGGGACTTTCCAAGTTTGGAGGATGCATACATATGCAACGTACTCACAATATATATTTGTTTGTATCTATATGCGAACAGGCTATACCATCCCGGGAGGTATGCTAAACGCTACTGCTGCCAGAAGGAAGTCGGGGCGAAGGCCCTTCTGTTCCCCTATACTTGGCTCTTGCCCCTTTGAAAGTGTCCCTTTCTCGCTTAATTCATCGTCAGACTTTAAAATGTATGAAAAAAAATCATTATCCCGAATTAGAATGTCGTCATTATAGTCATAACATGGCAAGTCGCTCTCATCATAGAGTTCACTTCTACGGCTGGCATTTCCCGTTCTGTCATTTTCTTCCTTACTAAGAAATTTACTGAAATTTTTCTTGCTCATATATTTTGGAATTTTTTTTTTTTTTTTTCTTTTATCCTTCAAAACCATTTTGCTCAATTGTTAGAAGTGGTTCCAATGACTAACAAAACGATTTCGTCTTCGGGATGACCAAAATGGTTTTAATAACAACGTAGGGGAAAAAAACATAAATATATATATTTTTTCTTTTTTTTTTTTTTGCCCCCCTGCGGTGTATTCGTTGCATAAAAATGGTATTCTGTGCAAGGTGGTAGGGGAAGTGTTACGAAAAGGAACCTCGCGGGATGCTTCCCTTTGCAATTGTAACACCAGCCGTGCGAGAGCACCTCTACTGGCCCTTCACATGTGTAAAAGTAAATTCGCCTCAAAATGCCAAAAAGGAATAGCCTCCCGTCCGCTGTGGAAATTCCAGTTTGTGAAAATATTTCCCAAATTGTTAACAGATCTTATTTAGAATTTTTTCGAGTCCCTCTTCTTTTTCCTTTTTTTTCAGTCCAAGCTGAGCAGTCGTGTAAGAAGCAAAAATAAATGCGTCATTCTGTACATGTCTGTTTCCCCATTGTAGGCCCCATTGGGGGGAATCGCAGACGGGGAATGGTGCCATGGCGATGTCGGCATCATTAAGCCATTTCTTCTAATTTAACCGTTTAATCGAAAAAAAATAAAAAGATAAGTTAAGCTTAACATGGGCGAGTTGCGCGTGTGACCACTTCTTCGTTCGGTGCTTTGTGGTGAAAAAAATGATGGGTGGCGCTTTTTCGCACAGGTTAATGAAGCGAAGGAGGGAGTATCCCTTAACAGGGGCTGGACAAAATGGGAAAAAGAACAACACAAAAAAAAAAAAAAAAAAAAAAGGACACGCACGGGAGAAAAGTAGCGACAGTGTCATCATGTGGGTTTCTCCCGTTCGACTAAATGGCAGAATATTCAGATGGATCCCTTCCCTATGATCCCAAAAAGTTATGCAAACGTGTTGCCCCAGACGGGGGGGATATATCACATGCTCGTTAAAGAGGTGTACATGGGGGCTGACTCGTAGAGGGCTCTTAATATGCAGAAGGGAGTGAACACACAAATAAATACACACATGTAAAGCATTGCCCGCTACTCATCCGAGTAATCCGAATAACCAAGCAGCAGTGAATTGTTCTGAGGGGTGGAAGCCTTTTTGACGTCGGCATGGCCCCCCTTCAGAGAAGCGATGGCACTTTTTTTCTTCGTCTTTATAATGGCCTTCACACTGCTCTTCACTGGAGTGATTTCTTTTTTTTTAATCACATTTTTTTTTATCTCACGTAAGTTAACATGATTACTTTCTTCCTTCCACAAATCCTCTTCACCTTCTTTTTCCTTTAATTCTTTTTTCTTTGCATAACTTTTTATAGCTTCTTTGAATTCAAATTCCAGTTCTTTCTGTCTCTCCATGATTTTCTCGGCACTATAATTATCATGCTTCGCATAATTTTCGTAATATTCTGCATATTCTTCTGTCATGTTTGGCATGTCATAAATATTGGTGATTCCTTCTTCATCTTCTTTCTCGAGTCCACCTCCATCACTGTTGCTGTTTTTTTTCAGTTCCAGTCGTTCCGATAGGCTTAAGAATTGATTGTCCCTTTTAAACTCTGGTAGCTCCTTTAGTCTGTTATTTTCGTCAATCTCTTTTGCGCTCCTGGCGTCCTTCTCATGCTCTTTTATTCCATCATTGGTGTACTCCTGTTCATAAATGTGTGTTTTTATGAAGTTCATTTTGGGGGGGATGTCCGCGTTTACGTGTGTGTGTACAGGGGGGGCGTCATTCATCGGAAGCGGGCGTTATTCATCGGAGCGGCTTCGAATGATTCCCAAATTGAGGAGAGCCCCTCTTTTTACTCCCCACATAGGTGGAAACCCACGCGCGCCGTTCCCCGCCTTGTGTTCCTCCAGTTGTTGAGTCACCATTTGGGGTTTCTCCCCCTGAGGTCAAGCCGCCAACTCCTCAGTTGCGCCACAGCCCTATCGCGCTAGTAACAATATTTCGTGTAGAAGGGCAAGGCGAATGTTTAAGAGGCTCTAATTCAGTTTGACGTGGACCCCTTCACTTTATTGTTCTTCCTAAAAATTGGTAAAACGCTATCTCATCTGAATAATATTTTTTTTTTTAAAATGATGACACCGCATGGTATCATTTTTTTTTTTTCCCACAGATTATGCACACTCAAAACGAAAAAAATATTATGTGAAAGAGAAGTGACAGATTGACGGATTGTCGGATTGGTGGGAGAATGAAATGGAGATGCAGTGGGCTCATGTTACTTTCTACAACCCGCCGTGTAAACAAAAGTTAGCTAACTATGCATGAATTACAAATTTACACTTGGCGCTTTGGAGACTCCCTTTTGGGGGGGCGAGTTCCATTCTTCTCGCTAGCAACGTTTTACCAAAATGGCAAGAACAAATTTCAGGTGAAGGCAGAAGATGAGACGAACTGCCTTCACACGGAATAGCATCCTTTGGACATTCGAATGATTTTTTTTTCTTCTTTTTTTTTCATTTCTGTGGGGTTGTACTGCCGCGAAATGATAAACTATTCCACACCTGGTATAATCTGCCATTTGCATTTTTTTCTTTAAGATAGTTTGCGGTGATTTCGTCGGCCAGGGTGCACGGGGGGAAAAACCACCACACAGACGCCCACGTTGGTTCCCCCGTGAAGAGCGATATGAACCTGTTGAGAGGTTCTTCATGCGGCCATACTGATGGGAAGAAAATTCATTCTATGTGTTCTCCTTCGTTTTAATTTTTTTCTTTTTTTTTTGCAACCTGTAATTGGAAATTGGGTGAGCTAGTCAATGACTTTACGGGGTAGGCGCTCCCATTTGTAAAAAAAAAAAAAAATTTAAAATGTCCACTTCATGCAGCATGCGGTTGTGACGTTGCTTCGGGGAGAATATCCACCGAGGTGTGTTCTGACCGCCCTAAAGGATCAATTCACGGCGGCAACACGGACAAGTGAGATTAAACCTAAACCAGCTTTTGACGCACTTCCAGTGGTAGGTATGCAGACAAGCCAACTTGATGCACTTGTCGTAGTTCTCAAAATATTCGAAGCAGACGGCACACTGTTCATATGCAAAGTTGTGACTTTTATTCTTTCCATCTATCGGTTCGTCCATATCTACGTCTAGCAGCATCTTCCCTCCCTGACTATCCCCCCGTGTGTTGTCCCTATATACATACTTATACTTATCCAGATGGCTTAGAATGCGCTGCTCGTTGAGGGCAGTCTCCTGCAAATTCGCGTTAGTTGATGGGAACAGCCGTAACAAAGAATCTGCATCTAACTGTTGCAGTATGTTCAGAACGGCATATGGCTTGTATTCCACTGGTAAGCACTGGATATAATTTATGGATTCATTCGAAATGACGTCGAAGAAAGTTGGCTTGATTGCCCCATCGGTGTATATAAATGTGTTGGGGGTAATTCTTCCTCTTCCAGATTTTATGTTCATTGGGTCGATTCCCATAATTTTAAATTGCACTCCTTTGTAAAAAAAGGTGTCGTGCATGGAAAACAAACTTAAGTAGTGCCTCTCTATGTAGGGCTTGATGTAGTCTGTGAAGATGTCATAGTTGTATGTGGTCGGTAATGTGTCGTACAGGGGCACTATGTGCACGTTCCTAAAGGGGTCATACGTGTCTGCATTCAAGAAAATCTCCTGCGGGAGGAAAAGGGAAGCATCGATAAAAGCAATTTTTTGGGGGAGCATGCAAGAGACATGATGGAATGCCAAGATAGCACTGTGAAGAAAAGCATGCATCATCATCCGTGGGGGAATCCCAAACGGTACATATACGTTTGCACACACATCACCGACGTGCCCATCTCCACTCCTTACCGTAGAGTTATCCACGAAGCCCACGTTCACGTCAGCATCTATCTTTACAACGAGGAAGGAGAAATTATTTATAATGAGTAGCTTCCCAGAGTAGAATAGCTTAGTCCTGTTTTTCTTGAAATAAGGGTGCAGACAGGTAAGAAGGATTTTTTCCAGGACGAAACTTCTTCTCTTGATGGTGGTAGGATGGGGTGTGACAGTGTCCCTGATGCTTCCTCCGAAGGTGCTATTTCTCTTCCCCTTTTCTGCAGTGCAATTACTCCAAAAGTGCTCAAAGGGAAAGGGAATGAGGGACATGGCTTCATTAAAAAATTGATTGCCTTTTTTAAGTAGATATTTTTTTAAAGAAAAAAATTTTTTTTTCAATTTTTTCTCATATTTTTTATAGTATTTATCTCGTATTATTATGAGATGAATTTTTTTTAAATTATCGACGTATTTTCCATCCGTGTAAATTAGGGTGTCCCGAGTGAGGATTCCCTTGGAAGGTATGCAATTCACAACAGCGTAGTAGTCTGTGCTTTCTTTAAAATGGGAAGTTTCGTCTGTTAATTTATCTTTAGTGCATTTTTCATGTAAGCAAATCTGGTCATTATTGGGTGTTTTATTAATGTCCTCTTCCGTGCAATTTTCACTGGAATTTTTTCTTTCTGTGTGACTGTCCGATTCCTTCCTATCCGCAACTTCCCAGGAGTCTTCATTTGGGCAAGGTCCCTCTTTGGCGCCACTTAATCTTTCGAGTAGATCTGTGTTTTTTGTGTGGTTTTCATTTTTAGTCCGGCCCCCCTTGTCATTTGTTAGTCCTTCCTTTTGGGTTTCCCAGACGTCTTCCTTTAGATTTTCCCGTGTATTTTTCCCCCCGGGTACCCTTTCCTTTTCTCCATTTGCGCCAATTATGAACCCCTCATACAGGACGCATTTGTCATTTATCAACAGCTGCAGTTTTCTATAAAGCGAATCTGCATTTTCGACTCTTCTTTTTATGGGAAGTATGTGCACTTTTTCTAGTATGCGTTTTTTTTCTACGATATTTAATTTTTTTTTCGAATTGACATTACTTAGGAAATGCATATGTTTGCTTTCTCCCTTTCTGCAACTTTCCATTGTTTAATTTTCATTTCTTCCTTTTGAATGTTCTCCACGGAATTTGACTCACTCTGTGTAGTAGACCGCTTAGTAGATTGAAGCTAAATCTCGAAATATGTTGAGCGCGACAATTTTTAAGAGGGTCGCCTTTTACGAGTATTCCCAGGTCGGCGTGTACGTAAATATGGGTGCATGTAAGAGCGCACAGGTGGACGTTCTTCGAGTGCGCTTGTGAGCAAAGTTGGTCACTTGCGTATCACCATTTCGACAAATATTTGGAAAGAAAAAATTCAGTTTTTCTAAACTGGAGAGTGACACTTTTTTTTCTTTTGCTTTTTCCAAAAAATTCGCCTTCTATTTTGCTCTGTTTTGCTTTTCTTTATTTGCCTTTCTATGTAGACAAAATTTAGGATGCTTTTTCCGGGGGAGTCTTCGCTTGCTGCGCGCGTAGAAGTACAACTGCAGATTCTTCCAAGAGTCACGCCACTGGCATCATCAATGTTGTTCCAGAATCTAGGTCGCCACCTATTTTACCGTTAACATGGAAAAAGAAGGAAATAAAATACGAACGCGAACGACACGAGGGGGATACTTGGGTCCAAACGGAGCACTAAGGGCATTTACTCTATTTTATACATTATAATTTTTCATTTTGTGGAAGTTATTTTCGCCCTTGTATGAGCGTCCTCTTTACATGCTGCTCTGTATTTTCCCCTTTTTTTTTTAATCGCCCACTGCTGCCATGTAGACAAGTTCAGTATGCGAATTGAAAAACGTCGTGGCGTTCTGCGGCGCGTAAAAATAATGTGAAGAAATAAAAATGAAATGTTGTAGCATAAGATATAATGGACCGACTCAAATTGACGAAATGGGAAAAGTGAAAAAAAAAAAGAACGCTAAATGGATGTAGAAATTTATATTTTATTTTAAAAACTGCGTGGGAGGAACGTAGTCGTGGATATAAAGAGGGATTTTATAGTTTTCCTTTATTTGGCCCCATTTTTCCACGCTCTTCACCGTTTACCTTAGTTAAACGGCCACAAAGTCTAAAACAAAAGCAGTGAATAAAACTAAAAACTGATACACTTAAAAATACTAAAAATGTACGCACCAAATGTATGTTCATAATAATTTAGAAAAAAAAAAATAAATAAATAATCTCACACAGAAGGAAAAAATACTCAAAATTAGACAAAAAACAAAACAACGTTTTGGAAAAAATTTCTGTGGAGTCTACCGACAGTTGAAAATATTTGTGTGTAAAATTTTCATATCGTTTTGACCAATTTGTTTGCTAATTTTGTAGATTTTTTTTTTCACCTTCATTTTTACTTTTACTTTAATTTTCCTTTTTCTTTTCCTTTTTTTTCTTTTCGTCATTCTCAGAATTTTCCTTTCTATGCGTACTTAAAAACATTTTTAAAAATTCCTCTTTCGCATGAAATAAGAAACTCCGCGGTGAAAAAAGAAAAGAAAAATTCAGAAAGTGAAATGTGTAGTTCTGTTTTACAAATAACGGCGTTTACAACTACACGCACCGGTTGCCTACAACATTTATGTTGCACAAAAAGAAAGAAAAAAAAAAAGCGAAAAATGCATAATAAATGTGTACACTAAAAAATCGGAAATTCCTTCTTACATTTTCAATAATTTTACTTTACGTTTGACACACATTTTTTAATTTTCCTTTTAGACGATTATAACAGCAAAAGTCGCTTTTGCAGCAACCGCGTGTAAAATGACGCCGTGCGATCTCCCATTTTGGGGAACAGTTCTTCTACATGTAGGAAAAAATATGCAAATGCACTAGAAAAGAGAATATACCTAGATAGGAACGAAGTAGCATTCATGGGGAGAATTTTAAAAAATTGTCTAAAGTGGCCGAAACGATTTTCTTCTATGCCATTTGGGTGAAGGCATGATTTTTCAGGCCATTCCCAATTTGTTCATTTTTCGCTGGTATTCTTCCCTCTGTTCAACTTCACAACTGCGTAGATTTTTTCTTCACCACGGCTAACATGCACACATATGACGTGGCATAAAATAAAGAAATAACACTATACCTATACGCCTGTAGAAGAGTTGGGATATACATATGTATATCCGTAAGTGCAGCGCGCCATACGTGCGTACATGCACACACACTCTCAAGTGACTATGTGGAATACTTTATTCATTGTCTCCCACATAATGTCCAAGATTATGCGTTTCTTTTCATCTCTGGAGAACTATTTTCTACACTTAGAATATAATAATTGGCATGGCAGAGATAAACAAGAACGCTTCGTGCGAAAAACACGCACATGTGTGTGTGTGCAACACGGTACTTAACTGATGTATACTTTTTGGTATTTTTGCCTGAACAGTTCATGTA